TACCCTTATTCAAAGTTGCTTTCTATGCTCTTTTTTTTTGGCAGTGTTGACCGGGGCTGGGCCTGAACCCACCACCCCAAATATATGGGGCCACCGCTCTCTCTCTTTTTTCTTTCTGAGACAGAGTCTCACTTTATCACCCTCGGTAGAGTGCCATGGCATCACAGCAGCAACCTTCACTCTTGGGCTTAGGCAATTCTCTTGCCTCAGCCTCCCAAGTAGCTTTTTTTTTGAGTCATAGACAAATCCATAAAAAACAGAAAACACATTTATATCAAGAATTTGATTGTTTAAAAATGTTTCCAAGAATATTCCCTGGAGGCAACAACACACAGAATGCGCCTATCCTCTCCCCCTTTATACAACGGGTATTCATCTATCCCACACATACTTGTTGAGTCCCTACTCCTCCCCAGGCCCAGTGCCCACATGCAGAAGTAACTGCGGCTGTAGGGGTTGTCAGTCCAGTGAGGGGATAGACCACGCAGACATAAAGCCCTTTACATTGAAACCTCGAGAACTGATGTGTAAGGGTAACTCTGAGGTGCTACTACTGCAGTTTGCAGAGAGTGAAGGTTGAGTATTTATTTGTGACTAGTTTTTAAACTGAGAAAATACATGCATGTATTTTTGTAAAAACAGTACAAAATGGTATATGATGAAAAGTGAGTTTCCCTGGCACCCCAGAAACCCTCACCAGAGTCATCTATTCACAATGACTATTCACCCAGTTTCTTTGCGTAAGTACACACACACAAACACACACAATTTTGTTTACTTATTTAGTTTATATCCCTTGCAAAGTCCTGCAGAAACAGCCATGATTTTAAAAACAAAACTTCTATATCTTGCTTACTTTCCAGTTCCAGTACATTTTGGAGATTGTTCTGTCTCCCCTACATAGATCTACTTCATTTAATGTCTTATTTTTGCAGGTTTTTCTCTGTTTCCTACACTTCACTCATTTAGTGAGTATTGTTCAGTCCATAGTCTCCCACTGCATGGATGTTCATAAATTTAACTAGTTCTGCTTTGGTGGAAATGTAAATTATTTCCCTGTCTTTTGCTGTTTTATATACTGTTACAATATACAATTTTGTACATGACTAATACAGGCTTATAGAAAGAAGTGAATGGCTCGGTGCCTGTAGCTCAG